ATCTTTGTGGCGGGAAGAGACTCAGGAGCTCTACTAGCTTTCTTCAGACAGTGCCCGGGTTGACCTGGACTCTCCTACGTGGTTGAAAAATAAAAATCGCCCTTCAGGGTGCGCGGCCTGAAGACAGCGCCGGCCAGGGTGGTCAGAACACACTGGGAAGCCCCCAGGCTCTCCGGAGGCCCATCCACACAAGTTGATCTTCCGAGATGATTTTTCCCCAGTTTTTTTCATTGCCTGCTGCATGATCCTAGCAGATGCTTAGAATGCACTGAAGAGTACAAACGCAGAAATTGTCACTGTATTGGCAGGGACTAACCCTTTGACTTTTGGTGTGTTTTCTGGAGGCTTCTGGTTTGTGCATATTCATTTTGTAAAGTGCTTTAGTTCTTTCCCTTTTGAACGAGGTTTGCTTGTCCTTGTGACTTTAAGTTCTTCCCTCTTTGGGGCCTGCAAGGTTATATTTGCAAATCAATCAACCAACAAGTTTTAAGAAAGGCTTTTCTGTGCTGAGGCCTTCAGGGCCAGGGAGGGGGTGGGTAGTCACCACAGCTGGAGGGTGGAAACTCTGAGATCTAGGTGTACAGGGCTGGGCCGGGCAGCAGATCTCAGGGCACAAAGAGGTGAGTGGGGGAGCTGGGACTAGGCGAGCCAGACTCCTGACCTCTGACAAAGTAATACTGACCTCAAAGACAAAGTAGTACTTGGGACTCTGAGGAGTGCTGAGTGTTTGCTTGTGCTAAATGCTTTGCATGCATTAATTTCTTCTCACTCAAGTAACAACCCTTGGAGGGAATTGGGATTATTACCCCATTTTATAGGTGAGCAAACTAAGGCAAAGAAAAGCCAAGTAACTTGTCGAGGATGATGAAACACAGCGGTGCAGCCCAGGATTCCTGGACAGGACTGGGGCTCTGGAGCCCTGATCCTGGTTGCTGCAGCTGCACGGCTGTGATCCGATCCTAACGCATGTCCAGACAGCAATTCCTCAGGGAGGCTGCCAAGGCTATCAGCAGCTCAATTGAATTATTTCTTTGGGCTCCGCGCCTATAGCTCAACCGGCTAAGGGGCCAGCCACGTACACCTAAGGTGGCGGGTTCGAATCCCCAGCCCGGACCCGCCAAACAATAATAATGGCTGCAACCAAAAAAAAGCCGGGCGTTGTGGCGGGCGTCTGTGGTCCCAGCTACTTGGGAGGCGGAGGCAGGAGACTCGCTTGAGCCCAGGAGTTGGAGGTTGCTGTGAGCTGTAATGCCACGGCACTCTACCCAGGGGGACAGCTTGAGGCTGTGTCTCAAAAAAAAAAAAAAAAGAATTATTTCTTTGAAAACCACCTAGAAGATGGAAAAAGTAGTTCCCTCAGGGAACTGACTATTCCTGCAAGCAAATTGATTGGGCTTTACAAAGTGTCTCGGTGGCACCTAATGTTTTGAAATTGAGCTACCTGCAGATGTGATCCTGTCACCCCAGCTAAAGGTCAGGTCAAAACATGTTCCTGGGCTGCAGGAGGTGCTGCTGATGGGGTAGCAGAGATCTGAGGAGGAGGCAACGAGTCAAGAACAGAGAGCGGTAGAGGCTGTTCTGGGAGTTGCTGCTTGTCCGGGTCCAGGACTCTGCACACAGGACCCATTTTACAGATGAATAAAATGCCAAGAAAATCTCTAAAGTCCAGGAGCAATTGGGGATCTGAATGGGCCTGTGTCCCTTCCCTGGGATCAGTTTGTTCTGAACTATCCGTGTCCAGGGGCAAGCCTCTTGTTCCCTTACATGACTCTGTGTGTGAACTTACAAGGTTGGGGGCGGTGCTGGGCATCCCAACAAGAGAACTCTGGGCCTTTCTGTGGGCAGGAAGCTTGTTTATATCCCTTCTAGGAGGTCAGACATTTGCTGACTGAGTATCCCAGCAGTGCTCTTAGAACTGAGGCGCTGTGGCTTCCTTACAGCGACCCCCAAGTATTTTTCAGAGAGGGGCCTCTGGTTTGTGGGTCATTGTTTTTTTCTTTTCTTTCTTTTTTGTGAAACAAAGCCTCACTCCTATTACCTTGGGTACAGTGCCCTAGCATCATAGCTCACAGCAACCTCAACCTCCTGGGTTCAAGTGATCTTCCTGCCTCACCCTCTTGAGTGGCTGGGATTGCAGGCTCCCGCCACAACACCTGGCTAGTTTTTCTATTTTTAGTAGATATGGGTCTTGCTCTTGCTCAGGCTGCTTTTGAACTCCTGAGCTCAGGTGATGCACAGCATCAGCCTCCCAGAATGTTAGGATTGTAGGGGTGAGCCACCATGCTCAGCCTTGTGGTTTAGCTCTGAGCAGCCCAAGCTTCGGAGGGATGGATGGGTCTGGACCGATGCTCTCAGGAGGTGCATGGACTATGGCTCTCCCTTCCCGTAGGACCCCTTCCTTGGGACCATGGTAAACCTGGAGTCATCAGCTAGTCCCTCCCAAGTGGAGACTGGAGTGACCTAGAGCCAGCCCTGACTACCCAGCGTCCTGTACAGCTGCCCCTGCTGAGCTAGAATGAGGGGTTCTGGTTAGTCTGTTAAGTAGGAATGTGAATAACTTAGAGGTGTCTTTGTTCCTCACAGATAGCAGGAGTGTTAGAAATAATCAAGACACAGAACACTGTTACTTCTTTTAACCCTCACAGTGAATTGAAGGGGATGTTGCCTGCCCCTGAATAGGGATCTCTACATGGAACGGGTATTTCAAGGGCTGACTGTTGCCTGCAAGGGCTGTTGTTTCCAGTCTGCCTCACTGCTTCCCCCACATGCTGCCAGGCGTGGGTGAACTTCTCTTGGCTTCAGAAAGCGTTTTGAATCTTGGTGTATGTTGTGTCCTCTTACAGACAGACATTTGTCCCATTGCACTGTTGGTTCTTTGTTTCTTGTAAAAGCAGAAAACTAGATTCTGCACCTTCTTGCACTTTTGTTTGGGCTGTGTGAATCAGGAGTGTGTTCTGTGCAGGCTCACAGTTGCAGTGTGGACATGGTGGGATATGGGGCTCAGCGTGGGGTCCCTGGAATTGCCTTTGATGTCCCAGGTGGGGCCTCCTTGAGGGCTGTCTCCTGCCCTGCTGTGTGCTGTCAGGGGACCTTCCCTGCACCTGGCACTGGCCCAGCAGTGCCTCAGGCCTCTCACTTGGTGACCCAGATCTCCACTAGGGTCTGCCTCTGCTGAGCAGGAGCAAGAGAACAGTGAGGGTGACCAGTGGTTGAGGCCATCAGCTTGGGCTTGAAGCACAGAGCCAGGTAGCAGCCCTCAGAATGCACCACTGTGCCAAGAAGGGGACCCTTCCTGATGGTCATTATAGTGACCCTAGACACTTAAAAAGAATTATGCTGATTTCCTAAAAAAAAAAAAGAAGGCAGTAATCTAGTATTAATACGTTTTGCCTCAGATAGGCAAAATGAATGGAAGATTATGCTGAAGGAGTCTATGTCAGTTATCTAGAAAATTTAAGGTGACCAGACGACCTGCTTTTGAACAATTTGTCCCGCATCCCGCGGCCTTTTAAAAAAGTCCTGATTTTTGGAAAGAACACAGGACAAGCTAGGGAAAGTCGGGCTGCTGAAAAGCTTAATGTAACTCCATTTGGGAATGAAGAGGTTAATGAAACTTCATTTGGAATTGAAAAGGCTAATGTAAACTCCCTACTCCCCTCCTGGACAAGGTCGCCCAGGTGGACGGGCACCCACTCTTTTGAGCCACAGGCGCCGCCCTATACGTAATTTTTTTTAATGTATTGTATTTGTAAATTATACTTATGTTGAAATTTAAAAAAATATATATCACAATACTATTTTTGCGTTCTATGAAAAATTTTGTTGCTCCATATAGACCACATTTTTAAATTTTTAATTAGGAACCCCGCCCCGCCCCCTACCTCCCCAGTCAATGGTGTTCCGCTTTACCAATGTAAAAATCTGGTCACCTTAAGAAAATTCCCTCTGGTAGATCATCCCCTGATCCCTGATCGTGCCAGGGAGGTGCTCCTCAGAGCCACCCTCTAGGAGCGAGAACTCTTTCTATGTCTCCACTCCGCCCTGAGAATCCCCGGCTCACAGCCTGCTGGGTGGCCCAGTGACATGGCTAAGAATGCCTTCCTTTCCTGCTCTGTCCCCCTCGCTTGTCAGGCATGTATCTGTCTATCCCCCACTGACCTTGCATTAATTCTCTTGTCTTCCTTCTTGGAAGAGGGTGTGAGCTTAAGTAACTTTTCCCTGTTGGGGGATGGCAAGTTCTGGATTTGAATCCAGATCTGTCATGGATTTGAGTTCTTGCTAAGACTTGGGCTATGTGGCCCTGCCCCGCCCCCCCCCCCCACCAACCCTTGGCACAGCCCATGCTGGAGTGGCAGGCCCAGGCTTGGGAGCTGTGGCCACCTGCTGTCCACACGGCCAGGGTGCCTGCCCAGCTGCTTCCTTGCACAGGCTGCCTTCCTTTACTCCTCTTCCTTCCCCTCTGCTCTAATTATGGCACATGTTGAATCGCTGCCCTTCCTCTTCCTCTTCACTTTTGGGGACAGATATTAGCATTTAATACATCCTCTGTAGGCCTGCCTTCACGTTTCACGCCTGCTTTTAAGGTATCAGAAGACGTCTTCAGGAATCTCTCTTTTGGCTTCGCAGGTGGCAAACTCTCGGTGCCCAGAGAGTGTCAGAGCGGATGCCCTGCTAACTATTGCCGGAGCCGCTCTCTGCCTTGCCACCCTCTGCTCCTGGCATTGGGGGACACTTCTAGGTGGACTAAAGGGTGTCATGCCCCCTCATTTGTCTTGGCAGTAACAGTGTGACATGGCTCCTCTTGTGTGTAGAGTTTATGAAACAGCTCATGAAAAGTAGAAACCGATTCCCTGATGGTTTGAATTCACCAGAATGCTCTTGTTGCAATAGTGAGAGCGCTCTGGGACGTGGCTGGGCCGAGGCTGTTCAGGGCCATCTGCAGTTGCTTTTCTTTTTATAGGAGAGCCGGGGCCCTGCTCCCGGGACCCGGAGCCAGAGCCGGAGCCGATTACTTCTCGCCAGAGGATTCAGGAATCCACACTCTCCCTGTTACCCTGGAACACAGCTGCAGTGCGTAGCATTTCACTTACTTGGAGCTGCACAATAAATGGTGCAGGCCCACATCTGGCTGGCTGAGCGGGTGGCGAGTGGGCCCTGGGGCCACACAGGGCCATTAGGGAGGCTGTCTGCGACCCCGCCCGTGCACATTCCTCTATGAACAAAGGGTTTCCCTCGCCTGGCCCTGGCATTTTTCTCCATTGTGTAATCCATCACCTTTCTTAGAGAGTTCCCTGGGCGCCCATCCCTCTCACTACTAACTATTTGGGAGGTAGATCAAAAGTACGTTTAGGCTTAGAGACAGGGAAATAGGCCAGGCTGTAGCATCCCACAAACCTGTGGAAAAGCCGCTCCTTGTCCCCAAGACGTTTTCCACATCACTGTGAGGGTCTGTGTCATTCCTCACCTGTAGCCTGGGGATGTCATGCCTCCATAGGTCCTGAGCCTGGGTGGGTGGGGTGCTGTTTTCCTGGTGTCCCTCCCTGCTTGCTGGCTCCAGGCCCACTGCTACATTGGTCTTGCTGAATTTCCATGGCCCCAGGGGCCTGAAAAGCTCCTGCGGTCTTGCTGGAGAACCACTTCCCCATTCTTGGAGGGAGGCTCTGGGTGCACTGGATGACACAGAGGAGGCCCGCTGTGATAGATGAGCTTGTCTCAGGGATTGGGGACAGGTGTGTTTCCAGTTTGTCTCCTGTGGAAAGACCTGCAGAGGCCAGTGGTGGGAGGTAGAGGAGAGGGGGCCTGTGTACACATGTCTTGGCAGGACTGGGTGCTAAGGGAGGTAGGAGGGGCTCTAAGCTGGTTAGGAATGCATTTTTCTCTTGTCCTGCACCCGGGAGGGCGGTGCATTCATAATCTATTACTCAGGGAATAGCTGAAGACTCTTAAGTAACGGAGTGTCTTTTTGCTCCCCAACTTGCTTTTTGACCATTTTTCTATAAAATATTTTTCATGTAATACAGATGTGTTCGTTGTAGACTTGGAAAAGATAGAAAAATGCTCAGGGAGCAGGAAAAATTTCTTCCTAATATCACCATCCCAGAACTTAATATTTTATTTATTTATTTTTATTTTTTGGACACAGAGTCTCAAGCTGTCGCCCTGGGTAGAGTGCTGTGGTGTCACAGCTCATGGCAACCTCTAACTCTTGGGCTTAGGCGATTCTCTTGCCTCAGCCTCCCAAGTAGCTGGGACCACAGGCGTCCAACACAATGCCTGGCTATTTTTTTTTGGTTGTAGTTGTCATCATTGTTGTTTAGTGGGCCGGACTGGATTCGAATTCGCCAGCTCCGGTGTCTGTGGCTGGCGCCCTAGCTGCTTGAGCTACAGGCACTGAGCCAGAGGTTAATATTTTAACCAGATGTTTTCTATGCTTTTTTACCAAGCTGAGATCATACCATATGTATTTATTTTGTATCCTGCACTTTAAAATCAGTGTGGCAGCATAAGCATTTCTCAATGTTTATTATTTATTTATTTTTGAGACAGAGTCTTAAGCTATCGCCCTGGGTAGAGTGATATGGCATCACAGCTCACAGCAACCTCAAACTCCTGGGCTTAAGTGATTCTTTTGCCTCAGCCTTCTGAGTAGCTTGGATTACAGTCACCCACCACAATGCCCGGCTATTTTTTTGGTTGCAGTTGTCATTGCTGTTTAGCAGGCCCTGGCCGGGCTGGAACCCGCCACCCTGGTTGTGTGTGTCCGGCGCCCTGCCGACTGAGCTACAGGTGCCGCCCACATTTCTCAATCTTTAAATAGCTCTACACAAACACCACTGCTAGTGTCAAGTGTCTGCCCTTCACTGTTTGTCATTTATGTCCTGTGTCATCCTTGCACGTAGACCTCAGGGTTATCCCAGCTGGTGGTATACTTGGAAGGACTTCTAACAGACTCATGGAGGTCAAAGAACACAATTTTTTTTTTTTATTGTGGTACAATGCACGTGACATGCATCGTTTTACCCATGTTTAAGTGTACAGCTCCGTGGTGCTGAGTGTGTTCAGCCTGGCCCTGCAGTCATTACCACCGTCCATCTCCAGGACACTTTTCATCTTGTAGGACTGAAGTTCTGGACCCGTTAAACCCTAACTCTCTATTCCTTCTTCCCTCAGCTTCTGACAACTACCATCCTGTTGCATTTCACTTACCTAATGTCCTCAAGTTGATCATGTTGTACAGACTTCTGTGTTTCTCAAAACTTTTGTGATGACTCACCTGTGGGTCAGAATTTCCCTGTTTTTTTTTTTTTAAGGCTGAATAATATTCCGCTGTGTGTGTCCATTTTGTGTATGTGGGTATCCTGGAGTTTGTTTGTCCATGCATCTGTTGATGAGTACTTGGGTTGCTCTGACCTTTTGGCGATTGTGAGTAACGCAATGAACGTGGGTGCCCCATCTCTGCTTTCAGTTCTGAGTATGTGCCCTCACAAGTGAGTACATGGTTTTTTGGAGCCCCTTGGTATATATATGGCCAAATTGCAGGTGAGATGTGTGCTCCCTGGTTCCTCAAGGGGTGCACCCACTTAGGGTCCCTAAGTATGGCTGGGTTGTGGCCCACAGGGTAAAACCAGGCCTGCAGGAAGAGGAAGAGGGAGGCTTCTTACTGAGCTATTTTGTCAGATTGTGTAAACTCAGTGATTAATGGATTGAGAAAGCAGGAAGAATGTCTTTTATTTAAAAAAAATAAAGAGGTTTTGGGGTTGCTTGGTTTTATTTTCAATTAAAAGGGCCTGATTTTGTTTCTGGAGAATGGTTTTAATTTGGATAAATGGTTCAGTCTGGGAGCCACATGCCAGCGCCTATGATCTATGAGTGTAATTACTCCGGGTTTCCGTGGCTGCTTTTCTGAGGGAACAGCCTGGAACCCGCTCTTGTTTGGCTCTGCAAATGGCGATGAAGGCCCCCCAGGCGCTCGGAGGGAGGTAGCTTTTCTGACCAGTGCCTGAAGACTGCCAGGCCAGCAGTGGCCAGCCCAGAGACCACGGCTGTAATGCCCTCCTGGGCTGATGCTGGTTAATTTCTGCCCCCTGAGAATCTGTTCACAATTCCAGGTCAGGAATGGCAGTAAACAGGCCCTCTCTTCCCCTCTCGGAACACCTTGGACCAAAATGACTGGCATCTTTTCCCACATGGACATCTGCAGAATCGGTCAGATACGGGGTCATGAGGAGAGAGACTCATCTTACATTCCCCGCAGTTCCCTGAAGCTCCCTGGGCCAAGGTGGGCAGAGGGCTGCTCTGTGGGGTGGTCAGCCACAGCTGCCTTCTGATGGGGATGCTGGGTATAGGGAGGTGAGGGGTAAATCTGGGGGGCTTTGGGGAGCAAAGAGCTGCCTGGTGTGAGCTCTGGAGTAGCAGAAGCTATGTGCAGAAGGTGAAGGGGAATAAAAAGCCGAGATAGGGCGTTGACTTCCATGCTGTTTATAGCAACAGGGCTTATAGATTGTCAGCAACACCTGTGACCTAGTGGGAGCGAACGTGGGAGTAGCAGGGGGGTCCCTAGGGTGGGAGTGGAGACAGTCTGCCCTGAGATTTCCAGGAGTGCAGCCTGCAGAGGAAGGACAGGTTTGTGGCAGGGTGGTGGGCTCCTGGGCCCCCAACAAAGGGCATTTTAACATAGGGAATAATAAAGGCACTTGGTTGGGTTCTGGGAGGAAAATCAGGGATGCATCTAGACGCGGGGTCAGGGTCCCCTTTCCTAAGCCTCATCTCTGGAGGTCCAGCCTGCACTGGGACACATAGTTTGGAAAGTCTTTTCCCAAAGCCTGGGCCACACATGACCCTTGATTTCTGGGACCGGTCTGGTGGCACTTCCTGTATATCCCTGGGAGACCCTTGTTTCCCACAGGAAATACTGTGATTTTTAGCCAGATTATCCTGATAGGAAATTGGGTGAGATAGGTAGGTAGCCAGCAACACGGAGCTGATAGATGTTGATTTTTAATCCCTAGCCTCTACTGAAGTAGGAATAACCCAGAATACACATCATCGGTAAGAGCACACTGTACTGTTATGGCACTTAGTTTATTGTAGATAGAATAGAATGGCCTGATCGGTGTTCATACCCTTTTAAAAGGCTTGCTATTCTCAAGGCACGGGATCGTTTTTTTTTTTTCTTCCCTCTAGGAATCAGAAGCACAATGGTAATTATCATGCCAATGGCTTTCCCAAACCTGTGTCCCATCCGAGCATTCCTGTATTTGTGTGTCTTCTCCACATTAATGACTGTAGTGACTTCTAGAACTCTCTTCCTAGACAGCGTGCTCTGCACAGCCTCCTAATCCAGTGGTTATCAACTTTCCTAATGCTGGGGCCCTTTAATACATTTCTGTGGGTCATGACCCAGAGGTTGAGAACCACTGCCCTAGTCCCTCAGTTGCTCACTGGCTCCCCTGGGCTCCCAAGGACGCCAGCACCTGTGGGGCAGGAGGTGCTGCCAGGTCTTCGTGGCCTGGGTTACCCTTCTCTCTGCAGTGGCTCCCTGGCACCCCATGGCCAGCTGCTCGCTGACAGGGCTAGACATGCTGACCTTGGCTCTGTGACTGTGTGACCAAGACTCTTGGTGAGTATCCAGCTGGGACCTGTTGGTGCTGAATTCAGCTCTGTAATCAATGACATTTAGCTGAGTTCCAGACAGACTCAGCCTTCAGTTTTCAGTGCCAAGAGTTGGGCAAATGAGCTGCAGCTGACAAAGCCTTTGGCCAGCTGTGATCTCTATTGTCCTGCGTCCCCTTGACCCCCTGGACTTACTGCCTCTCCTTTCATCTGTACACACCAGTTTTTCTGTGGTGTCCTGCCTACTCTCAGCCCTGTGAGTGTCTCCATCTCCCATAGTGGCAGATGGTTTTTAGTAAACAAGAGGGAGGAGAATCAGGGACGTCTCTAGGACCAGGGTCCTGGGTCCCCTTTCCTAAGGAAGGGCAGTGCAGGAGATGCCTCGGTCCTGTCAGCTCCCCTGAGGGTGAATTGGAAAAGGAATGGGGGCCAGGTGCCTCTGTAGCACAGTGGTTACA